CCTCTCTCTCTGAGTTCCCCCTCCTCTCAACCCCCTGCCCAGATTCCTGCACCCCCACCCTGTGCTCTGAGCCCCTTCTCACTGCCAACCCTCACTCTCCCACCTCACCTTTCTGCCCTGAGCCCCTCCACAAGCCCCCACCCTGACTCCTGCACCCCCAGGCTTCCGCCTCCTGGCCTGAGACCCCACTTCCCTAAGGTCCTGCCATGACTCCTGCACCCCCCACACTGCCAGCCCTCTGCCTGCAAGGGCCCAGGCAACGGCGGGGAATTCTGCTGGGATGTAAATAAACACATGTGGGTTGGGAATGTACCGAGGAGCAACTGAATGAACAGGGCATTTCATTGACACAGCGTGGGAGCAGCGGAGAGGGAAGGCCGGGTCCGTCTGAGGCCACAGAAACGCTGCCTCTCAAAGCAGGATCTTGCCACACGCAGGGCATCGTCGCCATTCATGCCCATTGGCTGGGCAGAGCTCTAGGGTCGCACATGGTCACCAACTCCTGGGACGATCCCCCACGGTCATGCCCCTGCTCCGGGCACTGAACCCCCGCAGCGCCTACCGGAGAACGCCAGCACCCGGCTCCGGGGGGGCCTGGCCCAGTTCTCCCTCCCCGGCCCTGCCAGTGCTGGTGTGCGGCATTCAGGCAGTTCTGGGAGGCCGAGTGAGGGGCAGGGAGGAGACAGGCTCGGGGCAGGATGTGGGATGGGGGAGGGATGGGAAGAGCAAGGTGGGGGGTGCACCTGGTTAAAGGGAGGGAAAGGAGGTGGGGTGGGGCAGAGGTGGGCCGGGAACAGAGGGGGTGGGGCCGAGCTCTTAGGGGAAGAGGTGGAGTTAGGGCTGGTATGAGGACGGAATAGGGACACAGCAAGGGGTTGAGCACCCCTGAGAGCGAGGGGCAGATGGAGCTGAGGTGACCTTTCACTGGCGCTCTCGGGGCAGGGCACAGAGCTGGAACGGTTTGTGTTCATTGGACACAAAACTGGACACTGGAGTAATATCGAGGTCGTTAGGGTCCACGACGGGCTTCAGCGTGAAGTGCTGCAAGATGGCGGTCAGCACCAAAAAGAGCCCCATCGGAGCCAGCCCCTCTCCCAGGCAAACCCGCTTCCCTGCACGGAAAAAGGAACTTTGAGCTGACCCTGGACACCTCCCTGCACAGCACATTTTACACACTGCTTGTTCAGAAGCAAAGCTGTCCTCTTCCACCTCTGTGGGCCACCAGAAAACACAGCACACAAACCAGTCTGAGAGCGACCAGGCAGAGCTGGGAGACAGGCTGTGATCTGACATTTAAACAGCTTCTTTTACCTGCAGAGAAGGGCATGAAGAAGTCACTCTTCTTAAAGGCACCATTGGCGTCCAGGAAGTGTCCCGGGTTGAATTGCTCTGGGTTTGGAAATTCCCTGCTGTCATGTAGAACTGATCTCAGTACAGGGTATATTGTGGTGCCCTGGATTAGCAAATGCAGAGAAAACACGGTGAAAGGGTACCCACCGCCAGAGAGATCCCCAGCCTTTGCTGAGCTGGACTGGAGGATGCATCTGGGTCTCGTTTCCTTGAACTTGGTGCTTTCATTCCGTGGGGGAAAAGGGGAAACCAACGTGATCGCTCTCAGGCAGATTGGGAACTGACCTTGGGAATGAGAAACTGCCTGAGATGAACATCTCTAGTCACAGCTCGGGAGGAACCTAAAGGGATCAGGGTAATGAATCTATGGATTTCATGTATTACGGCATCTGTGTAGGGCATCCGGCTTCGATCCGCCATGCTGGGGCTTCGGCTTTGCCCAATCACCCGGTCAATCTCTTCCTGAACTTTCTCTGTAACCAGGTGAGAGAGGTTTAATGATAATGGGGAGGAGCAGGGTTCCCACAGATTTGCCCACCATGCATCACCTCGTCTACAATTTGGGACTATAACAAACCTGGCCAGTTTGGTGTTACGGAAGTTATTCCCGCGATGGGCCACTAAGACTCGTGAGAGGGGCTGCTTGATTGAAATCCAGCAATGTGCAGCCTATGCCCTGCCGTCCACTGGGACGCCACTTGCTGCCAACACAGCACCCCTATCCCCTTTCCTCACGCCTCTCCTGCAGTGGGGAACCGGAGCCCCACGCCTCCTACTCCTTGCCTTCCCTCCCAGAGATGGATCGGCCACAAACAGCTGATTCGTGGTGTCCCAGCTCTGGGACGAAGGGCGGGGTAGCCGGGACAGAGAACAAATCAGGCGATTCAGGGCTCTTCTGAAAGCTCTGGGAGAGAGGGGGAGGAGTAGCTGAAAGGGTAACAAGAAGACATTCTACAAGAGAAATTCAATCGCTATGGTCCATTCGGACTTTGGACTCTCTGCTCAGACCACGAATCCAGGAACAAGTAATGCCAGTTGCAATGGGGCGTTTTTGCAGGCCAGGCATGATGGGATGACCCAGGGGCAGACAGACACACACCTTGTATTTCAGGGTATTTCAGAAGAATCAGGAGTCCATAGTTTAGAGTAGTGCTGGTTGTCCCTGTTCCAGCCATAAATAACTCTACCGCGCACTGACACAAAGTTCCCATCTTGAAGTGTGACTGGCTATTCATTCGCTCCTGAAAAATAGATTTGGAGAAGATCTTTTTTTGATGGTAAAACTCGAGGAGATATTCACACAGGCCTCAAATCTGTCATCTGCTACCCCAGAAGTAACCCAGTCTAACCATCATAAATATCCGACATAAATAGCCAAGAGGCCGGAGAAGAGAGCAGCATTACTGCAGTGCCGTGGGCCGTTTCTGTGCAATAAGATGATTTTTTTTATAATATGTCGGAGGAGAGCAGAGTTTGACCCGCATGTTCCTTAGGCACCCACCGTGTCTCCCCTCACCCAAAGCCATGCCTGATGTTGTTGTTTAACAAATTCATCCCCATGAGATGTAAAACCCTCTGCACAGGAAAGGGAAACGGCTCCTGCCCTCACACACCTCGTCCATTTTGATGAGGAAAGCATCGATAAAGTCTCGAGGGCAGTTGGGATCCAGAGACTCTCTGTGCATCTTCACTCTCTCCTGAACAAATCTTCTGAGCTTCAAGACATTTTGAAAGATCTTCTGGTGAGGCCCAGGAACGTAATCCATGAGAGTTGGGAAAAAAGTATATAGCTAAGAAGGATGAAAGAAAAGCACAGCTTGACATGTCTGGACATGTAGCTACATAGGTTAGAAATGTACGTCTGCCTGCCTGTCTGTTTCTTCAAGACGATAAGAGCAAAGGCACCAATTTTGGAAGGCAGTTACATCTTCTCCTAACTTAAAGCAAGGTCAGGGTCTGGCTGTGCCAGGAAAATGGGAAGTGTGGAGAATGGGACTGTTTTCCAGAACATGGAAAGGGAGAGGAGGGATGGGATATTTACACTCACCACTGGGGGCAGCGATTCCAGCAGAGAACTCTGCTCCCCCTGTCCTGGAAGGGGAGAGGGAGAAGGCCTACCAACAGAGCTGGGGAGGTAGCTCCCTGGCTATCCCTCCAGCACCAACCATACCCCCATCCTCCTGCCCTGAGCCCCCCAAATCTCCCAGGCTCTCCCTGACTCCTGCACCCCCCACACCACCAAGCCCCTGCCGTGAAAGATCTGGGCAACACCAGATAAGTCTTCTAGTACCAGATAATTATAGTGTCCAATCAAATGACTCAGCTCTGGCCTGGCCTCCTGGACAGCTCCCCCTGCCACTAGGCCCACTGCCCTCCCAGCCCCACTGGTTTTCCCGCAGCCGTGTGCTGGGTCCTTGCTCCATCGGGCAGCCCTGCAGCCGGTAGACTACTTCCTTACTGGCCCACTCTCTGGTCCTGGGACAGCCGTGGTCCTCACAGGCCACAGAGATTGCCAGACCAGAGTGTCCCAGTTTGGAGAGGTGCAGCCTTTAATGAGAGAAATCTTTGTCCCCTCCCCCAGTGCCCATGAGAGCGTAAAACAAAGCTCCCAACATACCACTGCCCAGAGAGATTGAGGGAGTTTGCCGTTTTCCAATATGAGACTAATCAAAGTAACAAAGTTCTCATCTTCGTAGTCAAACCGGTCCCCGAAGACGATGGCGCAGATGACGTTGGCGACGACATGGATGAGGAGGAGGCTGGTGTCATAGGGACGCCCTGGAGCAAACCAAAACGAAAAGGAGTCAGTTTTACAGGAGTGACTTCACACCAGAGTCACCGGCGCACTGGGCCATTGGGGGACTCTCCATACAAGGCTAGGTGGGCTCACTGCAGTATGCCCTGGGCAGGGAGGTTAAGGCTGTGTATCCCCCTCATGTCTGTGGTACTACTCTTAGGTCTGTGTTGCAAGGATGGAATGCCCTGGGGAAGGCCCTGTGTCCCACATAGAGTACAGAGGAAAAGACACAGGAGAATGAACATCATCTAAGGACCCCATGAGGCTGGGCAGCTTCCCTGAGACCCAGAGCCTACAGGGCTGACAGAGACCCGGATCCACTTGGGGGCCCTGCAATCTTGCCACGTGCCTGCCCCACATCCCAGCCAGGAGCAGCAGCCCCCAAACCCTCTGCACCCCACCGTGCCAGGCAGTGGACAGCCTGGACCCTCTGCTGGGCAGCTGGGAACCGGGGGGTGTTGCAGAGGGACGACCTTTCAACACATAGCTGAACCGACTAGGGTGGCTAATGTAGGCATTTGAACTTGCAAATGAAGCCCGGGATTTAAATATCCTGGGCTTTATTTGCATCTTCCCGGGTGCCACCATTTTTAAATGCCCGGTAGTTCGAACTACCAGCCCGCGGCTACACGCAGCACAGACTAGGTAGTTCAAATAAGGCTCCTAATTCGAACTACCGCTACTCCTCATTGTAGGTTCGAATGCCTGCATTAGCCACCCTAGTCCGAACTGGACAGGGGAAAAAATGTGAGCAACACACAGCCAGAAACGGCCATCTCTGGGGTGTTTCACACAGCCTGTCCCTCTGCACCAGAACGGGCTGTTACAGGAGCAGCCAATGGACACTGGAGCCAAACAATCCGCATCGTGTAAAACAGAAAGAAAAGAAAAACATAGAGAGAACTCACCCGCCCTAACACGGCTCATTGTGTGAGCACCTGCAGGCTCCAGCCCAACGTCTCCCATTCGCTAGTTGGCCTCCCGGAGGAGGGGAGAAAATGTGAGCAACACACAGCCAGAAACAGCCATCTCTCGGGTGTTTCACACAGCCTGTCCCTCTGCAGCAGAACGGGCTGTTACAGGAGCAGCCAATGGACACTGGAGCCAAACAATCCACATTGTGTAAAACAGAAAGACAAGAAAAACACAGAGACCAACAAAGAGTCGAGTAGCACTTTAAAGACGAACAAGACATGTGGATGAAGTGCCACTCGACTCTGTTGTTTTCTATGTTTTTCCTGTTGCAGACTGACTCGGCTACCCCTCTGAAGAAAGACGAGAGTCTTTGACTGCTCCGTTTTCAGTGTATGTAACAAAATCCCCACCTTGTGTGTTTCTGAGTCTTTCCACCAGAAAACGGGTTTCCTCCTGGATCCGCTCCTCAACGCTTTTCTTCCCCATCCCATAGTTTCTCAGGGTTGTGAGGGCAAATCGCCGGAGCTCCTTCCACTGCTCCCCGTTGGTCAAAGCGATACCTGGAGACGGGGAGAGAACAGGCCTGAAAGGAGGGAGGCCAGACGCTGTCTCTCTGTCTGGACAACACCCAAACATGCCTGAGCCAAAGGTTCCACTTCAACCTCACTGTATCTGTGCTCTCCTGAAGAGACAACCTTACAGTGACCTTCAAGTACGGTCTGCAGCAGTGCTATCCGCGTCCAGCCTGGGCCATGGCATAGACAAGGGAGTGGAGTTTGTATCTTGGATTAGACCAACTTTATGTTGGTGGGAGGGGCAGGATTTCAAGTTGCACCTGCTATTGCTCAGGAAGGAGAGTGTACACAGTGGGCCCGACTGCACAACAGGGTTACGCTGAGCCATGGCTCTGTAAGGCCGCATGCAGCTCTTTAGCAGACACCTGGCCCAGCTCTGCAGGCAGCGCCACTGCCAGCAGCAGCAAAGGAACAAGGGTAGCAACCCCGCCGCTCCCTCCCCATCCCATCCTGCAGGGGTTCCCCTCCCCGCGCCCCGGTTACAAGCCTTGGTCAAGAAAACGCCCTGGAGAGGAAAGGAGTGCCACGTGGCCCTGCAGGGGCATTCCACTGCTGCCCTGGGAAGACCGGACCCTTTGGGGGAGGTGAAAGCCGGCACTGAACTTTGGTACCCTGACATCTGGGCACCACAGGCCTGTCCAGCTCACCGACTCTGGTTTTTCCCTGACCTTGCAGCGCTAACGAACGCCGCTACAAACTCAGCTGATTTCGCGCGCTGTGAGACTCAGTTTTCAGCCGGCAGCGGCTCAGCACACACGCTGTCTGATTGCTGCACGGTCAAGTTCTGGGGCACACGCGGGAATGTCACATTCTGGGGCCCCAGTGGTGGAAGAGGGAAGGCGACCCATTTGGGGAAGCGGGTTTTATCCCCAAAAGCTCATGATTCTCTCTCGTTATTTGTGTTCGTCTACACAGAAAAGCAATTTAGAAATAACCAGCGTCTACACAGCCAAACCGCTATTTCGAAATTAAATTGAAATAGTGGAGGGGTTATTTCGAAATTGACACAAATGAAATATTTAGCTTCTGTAAATTTGCACACCAACCGTAAAAGTGGTTTGGCCAGAGAGAATAAGAAATCTATGAGAAACAACACGGGCAAGCAGGACATCAGCATATTTAAGTAAAGATGCCCACAACAACGAGGAAACTAGTAACCTCACCATTGCAATAACAGCTACTTGCTCTGCTACTCACTGGTGCCTGATGCCTTAAAAGGCCTCAAGAATTATGGAATTGCATGGGTTATCAATTAAACATCTGTGAACCATGCTTGGTCCTATAAGAGAAACAGCGACTCTAGTCAATGTAACCTCCTTCAAGTCACATACATAGAACAAATACACACTAATAGCAATGGGGAATACACGGCCTTGGGCCTCCCCTCATTCACACATAATTATTTCATTTATTGTAACAACATGAACACTACGAGGACAAAGAATCCACAGTCCTCTGAGTTAAAGTTTGTATGGAATATTGTGGGAAAGAAGCTAAACACTATCAAGCCACTGAAGTTGGACCTACTGACTCCCACTGGGGCTTACCACTTAAAGCCCAGACAGAGGTAACCCCTGAGGCATGGCTGTCATTTGTTAAACAATGGCCATTGCTAACTTGCCCTCATTTGGGTATTATTAACCAGGTCCTTAAGGACAAAATAAAGCCTCCCAATTGTGCAGCATGCCCTGAACAGACCCCTGTCCCAGAACCAGGACAACTGTCACTGGTCCTTACCTTGGTGATGTTCCACACTGGTATAGACCAGCTCTGTGCTAGACTGGCTAATGGAATTGGCAAGCGCCTGATTAGGCAACAATGGGGCTTAGCAGATACCATCGCAGATTGGTTTGGGCCTGGAAACTCTGTCAGCAACACATGTCATAGCCCAGAAATTGTATAGAATCCAGGCTGGTAGATGCAGTAATATCCAGTGCCCGTGAAGGCCTAAACACCAGCCAAACCAACCCATTGATCCTGGATAGTTTGAAGGATCTGTCCAGCTCTGTGTCCACTTCACTAGACCTAACAAGATATTTAGACCAGAGACTAATTGGATTGTTAATTAATGGAACTAAATTAAAGGTATTAGAAGAGCAATGTTGGAGGATAGCTTTGACCACCCAGCCCTTATGGTGGTAAGTCCCATCTCCCCTGTGCCTATCCATGGGAGCGAGGAAGTAGAGAATCCATGAGGACCCAAAGGCCCACCTGGACAGGCCATAGTATGACCGTTTGTTTTTGGCCCCTCTGGGGATTCCTCACTCACAGTGATCAGAATGGTAACCCCCCTGCCTGTACCAAAGCAGGGGCATATAGATAGATCGAGGGTATCGCTTATTCTGAAGGTGTGGGAGCCTCCCTGTACCCAGGGATTGTTGCACCCACTTTGATAAGGAAATTTTATGTACCTGCCCATTTAACATCATGACGAATCTGACTAGGTTTGATGTGATTGTCTCAGAGAAACAAAAACATCGAGCTGGTCCAAATGAACGGTACCTACTGGTGTTTGACTACCCAGACAGATCACTCCATCCTGCCCTCTACATATCCGTCTGTGTGCATAACAGCCCCTCGCCGGATGATCCTGACCGTTAATGGAATGTGGCTCTATTGCACTTCAGCAATAATGGGTAACCCAGCATGAGATCCTGAGTGGCACAGTGGAAGTAAAGTACCTAGAGGAGGGTTTACTGGCCCTGCAGGCAAAGATCGAGGAGTTGGTGGCCAATGCCCAAAGATATATCGGGGCTGGCCGTCTGAGGTATGCACAGATGGGGAAACACCGTGGACAAACACCTACCTCTGAGGAACTCGACCAGGCAGTAGAGGTCAAACCTATAATCATGGGTAGCGCCAGTAAGGCGATGAGATATCTTGGGGATGGATTTGAATAGTGTTTTCCAAATTATGTGGGGAGTTTTGATTTTAACATTTATAATAGTGCTGGTGCTGTACTCGTACTTCCAGAGGAAATTGAAAAACCCTGAAATTGTTGTATTTAATCTGGTTAAGGAGAACCCCAAAGTCAAGAGAAAGGAACTATAGGAGTATATTGAGGCCTGTCTGAACCAGTTTTTCCCCTTGCTGCAGCTAGTAATAAAACTGCCTCTGGCTACTTGTTGCTTACAAGCTCAGAGTGAGGACCTCATTCCACAAGGAATAGCGACAATTTCGAAATTGCTATTTTGAAATAAGCGCTGTGTAGATGCTTATTTTGAAATAGGGGGCCCCCAGCCCTTCCCAGGGTGCCCTGGTGGCCACTCTTGGGCACAACCAAGAAAACTCCTTTCTCTCCCCCCATCCCAGAGCCCTTAAAGAGGTGGAGTCTCACCTCAGTTTCATCCCCCTCCCCTACTTTTGTTTAATAAAGTGGGTTTGTTGTAATGAACACCTGTGTCTTTCATTGTACAGCAGGAAGGGGTGTTAGGGAGGGGTAAGTGGAAGGACGTGAGGGAGGAATGAGGCACAAGCCCCCAGTGGAGCACACCAGGGAGACTGCTACTGCCTGCAGAACAGCTGCCAGGCTCACAGCAACACGCTCAGGAGAAGCCCCAGAGTGCCCAGGGGCGGCTCTGGCTCCATGCTGCAGAGTGCTGTGGTGTCCTGAGTGAGGGCAACCAGAGCACGCAGAGAAAAAAATGCTTTGCTGTCCCTCAGCGAGGTAGGCAAGCAAGCAGGGACATCTTTGAACCAGCAGTCCGGGGGGAGGGGGGAGAGTATTTCCCTCTAAGAACAAGTCTCAGATAGCCTCAGGCAGCAGCCACACAAGGTAACTCCTGACCTGATGCCCCACCAGAACTGGTTCCGACCAGCCTTAAGTGCAATTCAGCATCCTATTAGTGTGGACACGCTATTTCAAAATAGCAAAAGGATTTTTCGAAATGCATTTTTTCTCTAGACGTGTTATTTCGAAATAAGCTATTTCAAAATAACTTTTTTGAAATGAGATATTTTGAAATAACGCTGTAGTGTAGACATACCCAAAAGGGACACAGCACCACTTGTTGCTTTTAAAGTTTCAGACTCAGAGGGCGACACTCTGAATACTGAATGAATGAAACTGCAGCTCTACCACTTTTCTCTTCCTAGTTGTGTACCTGTTCCCTTGCCAGTTTTGTCGAATAGTGGAATGCTTCCTCGGGCACCGAACGCCTCCGCCAGGTCGACCAGAGCCTCCTTCACAGCCTCGTATCCATGCAGCACCACAACCCGCTCGGAGCCCAAGTAGATGGTGAAAATCGGGCCGTACGTTCTACTGAGCTGTAAAAGTTTCACAGGCGAGGCCAGTAAGCTTTAGCTTTGATCCATTTCATTACAAATTTGTGCGGAGATCACATTACAGACTGCTGGGGCAGCGCTTTCCTGCCACGGAGCTAACACTTTGGAAGAGTAACTAGTGAGAACCGTCCCGATTTGGTCATTTCAGCCCCGCTCCTCCAAGGGACAGTAGTGAGAAGCCAGACTCCATTGATTCATTGAGATTTAGGCACCCACACACCTGGGAGCTCTGGGCCTCCCGGACATTTCAATGCATCATGCTGTTAAACTCCTGCTTTTTAAACCCTTTACCCATCGATGTGTCTGTCTGTGTGTTCCTAGCACACTTTTGTGCTGTACAATTCCCTGGTTATAAGAGCAGCCTGCATTCATATGGGGCCACTCCGTGGTGATATTGACCCTTCTAACTGCACAGAAAGGGGCCTGCGTCTCTTCAGTCACGCCGGCCGATTTTGATGTGAGAAGAGTTTCCCTTCACTTTACTCCTCTCGGCCCTCTGGAGCCAAACACGGAGAAAAGTGAGATTCTGTTTCCCCATTTACAACCCCTGCAGAATTCCTGTCCACTTTCCAGCTGATCACACCTGTGCAAATCAATAGACAAGCTCTTCTCTTCCTGGAGCCACATCACTGCTAGAAATGCTGGCTAGCTGAGCACTCTCTGCGAGTTGGGGGAAGAAAGGAAAAGGAAGTGTTCATGTGTTGCAGGCTGCCCCTTCCTGTAAGTGCCACCCCCATTAGCCTGCTCCTAGTCAATGGAAGCTCTTTGGACAGTGCTGGAGGTGAGGGCAGCATGGGGTTGCTACACCCCCACTCCCAGGGGTTGTAGAGACTGTCTGTACTCAGCCAGCCTTCTGTTTCTGGAAGCCGCATGGGTCCAGGCAGAGGCAGCCTATCCAAGGATCACAATGGACTGAGAGAGGCTCCAGGATCTTACAGTTGATCTAACTGATGGGTTAATGACCACTGCTCTAAGGCAAAAGAACATGGAGTTTCTGGGAATACTTTCCAAGACCAGAGCACTGTTCTCCACGTGCACAAAAAGTAGAACAAGAAATTAATGGTCTTAATCAGCAGCAAAGGAATTTCAGGTTAAATATCTGTGCAGGGGGTCAGACTGGGTGATCGTAGTGGTCCCTTTTGACCTTGAGGTCTATGAGTCTGTGTGTGTCTCAGGGCATGGTGAGCAGAGAATGGAGGGGACGAGCGGTTACGGGGCTGCAGAATTTGTCCTGTGCACCCCGCATTATTTGTGTGGATTCACAGTGTAAAGGGACTGTTAGCTCCTTAGTAAAACTCAGTGGGAGTTTTTGGTTGTCCAGCTCCCAGCATCAAAAGGGGAAGGGTCCATGAGAAATCAGGGCCCTGAGATTGACAGACCCCAGGGACACTGGAAAGAGGCCAACACTCTAGCACAGCCTGATTGACAGGTTGGAGAGGCCAATGAGGAAATTAGGAGACCAGGTCCCATCCTCCGTGTGAGCTGGGATTTTCTGGGTCTCTCTGAGAAAAGGAGAGAGCTATGAAGAGCAGCAAGAAGAGCAAGCTGCGCTGAGGGGCAGACCTGCAGAGTCAGAGCCAGGCGCACACAGCCCAAGGAGTACAGACCCTGTGCTGAGCAGCAGACTTGCAGTGACCTGAGAGCCAAAGGGGACAGAGAAGCCACACAAGGAGCTGGAGGCTGGTAAAGCAGCACAGTCTGCAGCTGGGTGCGGTGAGACGGCTGTTTGTGCTGTCCCCGTGCTGCAGAGCGGGGCTGTGTGTTCTCTTTTAACCTTTCTCATTATTCCTTATTCTTTTCTTTTTAATCAGTTGCTGTTTAATAAATTGTATTTGCTTTGAACTGTATGAGGTGATCACTGGGCCAAGAAAGCCTGCAGTGTGCAGAGAGCACCCCGGAGTGGGGACACCCTAGCCCCTGCCCCAAGTGACTACAAGGTTGGGGATTAAGTCCCAGAAAAACTGGGCCCAGCCTTGTTGGGATTTCGAGGACACTGCTACTCAGGAGAGTGGCAGGGGAGCGCTCAAGGTAAAGGAGGCCGTTGGGTAAAGGAAGTGGGAGCGGGGACTCAGATCCTTTCGCTGGTCCATTTCACCGGGGTAGTGTAGAAGCCAGGAAAGTTCCCCACAATAGCGGGACCATTCCCCCGCTTACAAAAGGAAGGGGAGAATCAAACCTGTCTGTGCAATCCCAGGTTGTTTGCAGAGCTGGCTAAAATACCAGAAGACGCAGCGTGTAGCATAATTTCTCCCACGCTGAGCTGCAATTTCTGCCTTCCCATCCTTTTGTGATGCAGGCAAATGTCATTAGAGCAGTTTTATGGACGGGAAATGGAGGCAGAGAGAGGTGACGTGACATGCCCAAGGGTACAGCTGGAGTCTGTATCAGAGGTGGGAACAGACCTGAAAGTTTTTCTGTCCCATTTCCTTACATAACCCACTAGGATACTGTCCCCAGGCTGGGATAGCTTGTAGCTATGGCAGTGCCGCTGTGGGGGCTCTGGGTTATGTGAGGATAAGACACCCCCAACACAAGCAGTGTCTCATCCCATATCATTTCCATCTAGCATCCAAGACTGATTGTTTGGTGGAACAGTGAGTCAGAAATTTGAGCCGATATGGCACTGCCAGCAGGCCAGGCTGAGCTAAATGCCTGCTAAGAACACAGCAACGGGCACCCAGAAGACTCCCTTACCTGTTCTAATTCCTGGGGCATGTTCTTTGCATTCAGCTGCAGCATGTTCCCAATGAGGGGAAAAGCAACAGGCCCTGGGGGCAGCTTCCCACTTCCAGGCGTCTTTCTCCTTGCGGAGAGGAAGAGAAGGCAAGAGACACAAATGACCAGGAACACCGTGGTTGCTCCCAGCGGTTCCATTGTCGCGAGTAGCAACAGCTCTGGATTCCGGGCAGATTAAGCGAAGGAAAAACATATTCCCAGTTTTTTATACTGTGCTCACCAAGAACGGGGCCAGGCAATTAGCCAATAGGAGCTCTCCATTTCTCTGCATTAGCAAGATAAACTCTGGGCTAACAAAAGTGACTGGAGCTGTGACAGCCCTTTGAGTTTTATTCCTGTCTTATCTCTCTTTGCCCTTTGGCACTGGGTGATGGAGCATGACAATTAATCATTCACTGAACCTCTGCAAAGCTGCCCAAATGATCTCGTTCTTCTCTTCTCTTCCTACCCAACTGGTCAAACATTCTGCACTTCCAGTGATGTTCCCTTTTAGTGTCTCCTGTTCATGTTGCTCTCCAGGGTTTCGCCGATGGACAGCTGTTGAGCAAAGCCTAGATCATCTTCACTCTCCAGCCACTGCCCGGGGCTTAGCATTCCCCCTGTTTCTTCCCTTGTTTCCTTATTATTGACGGGGCTGAAACAGCCTTTCACATTGGTTTTCGTTACCTCTGCAAAATCCCGCTCTGCTTCGCTGTTGGCAGCTCTCGCTTCATTCCGACACGGTTTCTCTCTGTGGAGACTTTCTGCCCTCTCTCAATCACCTCTCTGAGATCTTTGCTCTCCCTCGCTTCGTCTGGAGCCCTTCCCAATTGATTTCCTTTCCCCTCCCTCACTCAAGGTGCTGGGTTCAGTGAATTCCTGCAGCTTTGACCTAAACCTCCACCACCAGTTTTCCCACGAGGTCCACAGCACCCTCCAATACCAAAGCTAAAAGAGCATCACATCCTGTGGGTTCTGAGCATCTTTGAGGATGGAATCATCACCTCCCAGCACAGTCCCGTCCCAGACTTTGTATCACAAAACGACACCCACCCCTCTGTATATGTTAGAAACGTGCAATGGTCCGTCTTTCTGTCCGTCCATCGGTGAGTCCGATTGGTCAAGAACTCCTCCTAAACAGTAAGAGCTTGGACCACCAAATTCGGTGGGCAGCTTCTTCTTCTCCTCACTTAAAGCAAGGCCAGGGCTGGGTTGTGCCAGGAAAAGAGGATCTGCCTGGAATGGGATTGTTCTCCATAATATGGAAAGGGAAGGAGGGGGCTGATTGCAGGGACAGCTGCACTGCAGAGTGACCACAGGGGGGTGCTGAAGTACCAAGAGAGTGGCCAGCTGATGCCAGGGCTCACCATCTTGCTGGCCACCAGACCAAGTAAGTGGCCTCCCTCAGCCCCAAACACTTCCCCCACCTTTGGCCACAGCACCAGAGTGGGGGGAGGAGGAGGTAAGCCCCACAGGACTGGGAGGGAAGGGGAACAGTCCCACCATATCTGGGGACAAGCTGGATCACAGCCCCATGCCTCAGGGACAAGCTGGTGGGCGGGAGGTGCGGTTCCTGCTGTCTCAGGTCGCCTTGGGTAGAAGTCGGCTGCTCCCCCCCATCCACTGCCATAACCTCCACCCCGCTCTCTGAGCTCCCCCTCCTCTCAACCCCCTGCCCGGATTCCTGCACCCCCACCCTGTGCTCTGAGCCCCTTCTCACTGCCAACCCTCACTCTCCCACCTCACCTTTCTGGAGCGGGGAGGAGACAGGCTCGGGGCAGGAGGTGGGATGGGGGAGGGACTCTGAACCCTTTCCAAGGCCAAAATATCTGTTTTGAGTTGAGGAGACCACATCTGTAGACTGTACTGAAGATATGGCATACCATATCTTTATACTTCCCCTCCTCCTTCTTCCCCTGGCTTCTTCCTTCCAGCTCACTCCTCCCAGGTTTCCCCCTCCCCTCTCCCACCCTCTCTCTTCCCCTCTCCCACCTCCTTTTCCCAGTCTCCCCACAGGTTAATCTCCCCCCCCCCAGTTTTGTTAAATAAAGAGAGTTTCTTTATTTGAACACACGTGTCCTTTATTTTATACATCAGTAAGGGGGGCTAGAGAGGGGTAAGTGGAAGGGGGTGAGGGAGGAATGGGGCACAAGTCCCTGATGGGGAGGACTGGGGTGGCTCTGCGGGCTCCTTGGAGTGGAAGCTCTCCTGCAGGGCCACAGCATGGGAGCAGTGGAGAGGGGAGGCCGGGTCCATCCGAGGCCACAGAAATGCTGAGGAAAAGGACGGAAAGGACGTGGGGTGGGGCAGAGCTGGGCCGGGAACAGAGGGGGTGGGGCCGAGCTCTTAGGGGAAGAGGTGGAGCGAGGGCTGCTGTGAGGACGGAATAGGGACACAGCAGGGGGTTGAGCACCCCTGAGAGCAAGGGGTAATTGGTGCTGAGGTGACCTTTCACTGGCGTTCTCGGGGTAGGGCACAGAGCTGGAACGGTTTGTGTACATGTGTGAAACTGGACACTGAAGCAATATCGATGTCGTTGGGGTCCATGACGGGCTTCAGGGTGAAGTGCTGCAAGATGGTGGTCAGCACCAAAAAGAGCTCCATCCGAGCCAGCCCCTCTCCCAGGCAAATCCGCTTCCCTGCACGGAAAAAGGAACTTTGAGCTGACCGCGGACACCTCCCTGCACAGCACATGTTACACACTGCTTGTTCGGAAGCAAAACCTCCGGGTTAAACGGACGCGCCCAGTAACCGAGGGCAAGTGGTCGGAGGAGGTCGGCCGTCTCCTCAGAGCTCAGGGAGGTCCGGATGCGAACGGGGACTTCAGAAGCCACGCTGAAGTAGAAACTCTGAAGGGCTGAGTTCCCTACATTGCCATTGGAAAGGCTTTTTGGGTGAAGGGGGGAGATGTGGGGGTGGCAGAGGAACAGCTCATCCCCTCTCCAGAGGCGCTGGACACGCTTCTGAGGAAGTGACTTGGTGGTGCCGAGGCCGAAGGGGGAAGTAAGAGGAGCAGGAGTAGCAGGCGAGAGGAGGAAGCCTCGACTGCACCATTCGCAGGGAGCTCGGTTGCTTGGGCTCCTCTGGAGAAGTGAAGTTCCCCGCACGGATGACATCAGGAAGGCTGAAGTCAAGGCCTTGGACAGGTGGGAAGGGGCTCTTTGCCCTTTCTGGCTCCAGCGGAGCCCTACCGCAGCGGCACTGCCAGTCCCAGCCAGCAGGCCACCCACAGCGGGGAGCAAAGAGTCATCCATGCACAGCCCGGACACGTGGCTGGTTCTTACCAAAGCACCACACCAGCCCCACCTGCCCACTCCTACCTCTGTGGGGCCCCGGAAAACACCGCGCACAAACCAGTCTGGGAGCAACCAGGCAGAGCTGGGAGACAAACAAAACCAGCTTCTTTTACCTGCAGAGAAGGGCATGAAGAAGTCACTCTTCTTAAAGGCACCATTGGCATCCAGGAAGTGTCCCGGGTTGAATTGCTCTGGGTTTGGAAATTCCCTGCTGTCATATAGAACTGACTTCAGTACAGGGAATATCGTGGTGCCCTGAATGAGCAAATGGAGAAAAAACACAGGGAATGGGTATCCTCCGCCAGAGAGATCCCCAGCCTTTGCTGAGCTGGACTGGGGGAGATCATGCAAGATTATGGAGCAGATTTTACGGGACTAAGTTAATAAAGCATTAAAGGACACTAATGTAACTAATGCAAATCACCATGGGCTTATGAAACGTAGAATCTGTGAAACTAACTTAGGATCCTTTTTGACAAGATTGCCAAAGTGTTTGATAAGGGCAGTGACAGCATAATACCCGTAGACCTCAGTAAGCCATGACTTGGTATCACACGAGATTTTGATTTAAGAAACAGAATCTAGAATTCTGATGGCCAACATGCAATGGGTTGAAACCAGCTATCTAATGATGCTCAACATTTAATTGGTACTGTCAGTGAGCGGGTTTGTTCTCAGCGGGGTCCCACAGGGGCTGGTTTTTGGCTTTTAATGTCTTTAATTAATGACCTGAAAGGAAAAATAAATTCACCGCAGATGGAGTTTGCTAATGACACAAAGCTAGGAGTGTGGTAAATAGTGAAGGGGACAGACAATAGATTCCGAGTTTACTAGGTAATGTGGGTGCCTCCCTCTCACTCCTATGGGGATGGAGCTGGAGGGGTGTGTCTTCTTCTATTTCTGAGTTGGGGGTCACATCTCTGAGGGGTTCATTTTCTACTTCTCACTTAGGGGACAAGGTCAGCGAGGGGTTTTTTTTGGTTTCTCACTTGGGTGTTGGCCCCAACTGATTTTTTTCTGTGGGTCAGTGGCCCCTGTTCCTTGTCTTATTGCCACGGCTAGGATCTGAAACCCTGATTTGGATGAAAAATCCAACTTCAGATGGGAAATTCTATGCTTCTATGAATTGCTCTTCTGCTGCATGTAGGGCCTTGTAGGGCTTCAATACCAATGGGTACTTCACTGGCAAATCAGCAAAACCACCTCCCACCCAAATCTAGTTCGGGCATTTTTCTGGTGAGGAATTCAACGTTCCGTGGGGGAAAAGAGTAAACCACAGTAATCACTCACAGGCAGACTGGGAACTGACCTTGGGAATGAGAAACTGCCTGAGATGAACATCTCTAGTCACAGCACGCGGGGCACCTATAGACGCAAGTGCAAGGAATCTCTGGATTTCATGTATCACGGCATCTGTGTAGGGCATCCGGCTTCGATCCGCCATGCTGGGGCTTCGGCTTCGCCCAATCACCTGGTCAATCTCTTCATGAACTTTCTCTGTAACCAGGTAAGAGGTCTAACGATAATGGGGTGTAGGAGGGTTCCCACAGATTTGCCCACCACTGCGTCACCCTGTCTGCTTGTTGGGATTCCAGCCAACCTGGTGAGTTGGTGTATCGGAAGCTACACCGGCACTGGGCCACCAAGACTGATGAGTGGGTGAGATGAGGGGTCCTTGCCTCAGTGGCCACGAGACCCTTTTGTAAGCAGGGGAATGGTCCCGCTATTGTGGGGAACTTTCCTGGCTTCTACACCACCCCGGTGAAATGGACCAGCGAAAGGGTCTGAGTCCCAGCTCCCACTTCCTTTACCCCACGGCCTCCCTCACTCTGAGGGCTCCCCTGCCACTCTCCTGAGTAGCAGAGTCCTCGACATGCCAACAAGGCTGGGCCCAGGTTTTCTGGGGCTTAATCCCCGACCTTGTAGTCACTTAGGGCAGGGGCAGGGTGTCCCCTCTCCGGGTTGCTCTCTGCACACTGCTGGCTTTCTTGGCCCAGTGAGCATTTTGTACCATTCAAAGCAAATACAATTTATTAAACAGCAACTGAGTAAAAAGAAAAGAATAAGGAAAAATGCGAGAGGTTAAATGAGAACACACAGCCTCACTCTGTAGCACGGGGACAGCACAAACAGCCGTCTGCAGAGTGTAAGGACTGTTCACAGTCTGTTCCTTATAGGTCCCATGGCTCTCTCTCAGGCCCTGGCTGTGCTGCAGGGGGGCTGCAGGGTGGACACGCTTGCTCTGGCAGTGACCACACGGCCTCAGGCTCTGGGTGGCAGGACCCCTCTCCTAGTCTGGCCTGCAGGGCCTCTTGGCTGGTGGTGTCTCCCTGCCCAGAGCCTCTCCCCTCACTTTGCTGGTCTTAGCTGCTCACCACACCCAGCTGCAGACTGTGCTGCTTTACCAGCCCCCAGCTCCTTGTGTGGCTTCTCTGTCCCCTTTGGCGCTCTGGTCACTGCAGGTCTGCTGCTCAGCACAGGGTCTGCGCTCCGTGGGCTGTGTGCGCCTGGCTCTGTCACTGCAGGTCTGCCCCTCAGCACAGGGTCTGCGCTCCGTGGGCTGTGTGCGCCTGGCTCTGTCACTGCAGGATTGCCCCCAGCACAGGGTCTGTGCTCCGTGGGCTGTGTGCGCCTGGCTCTGTCACTGCAGGTTTGCCCTCAGCACAGGGTCTGCGCTCCTTGGGCTCTGGCACTGCAGGTCTGTCTCTCCACACACCTTGCTCTTCTTAGCTCTCTCTGCTTTCTCTCAGAGCGACCCAGAAGATCCCAGCTCACACTGGCCCCTTAACTTTCTCACTGGCCTGTCCATCCTGTCCATCATTCTGAGCTGGAGTGTTGGCTGCTTTCCATTGTCTCTGGGGTCTGGGCTGTCTCATGGCCCTGATTTCTCATGGACCTTCCCCTTTTGGTACTGGGAGCTGGCCAATCAAAAACTCCCACTGAGTTTTAGTCTCTCTCATCAGTCATTCACTCTGGCTTCTGCCTGTCCTTCTGCGTCACCTTCTGCGAGGTGATGACCAGGTCAGCTTGTGCTGCAGGCTGGACCTTCACCCATGCGCTAGGTACTTCTCAAAGAGTCCATATCGCCCGACCAATCAGCCAGTATCGGTGGCCAGAAATCCTTGCCAGCTTCACTCATCAGGTTCACTGCAGTTCACTGCTGCTTGATGAGAACCTGCTCCCAGAATCCTCTCTTATTCGGCCTTGTTTAAATCACGTCAAGACACCGCCACATCATTCATTCGGCACGGTCACACCAATTTGGCACCAACATCACTCAAGTCCTAGCTGTGTGTGTGTGTGTCTGTGTGCGCGCACACATGTGTGTGTGTCTGTGACAGACAGACAGAAAGACAGGCAGGTAGACAGACAGTTACCTTGTATTTCGGGGTATTTCAGAAAGATCAGGAGTCCATATTTTAGAGTAGTGCTGGTTGTCCCTGTTCCACCGATAAATAACTCTCTGGCACATTCTGCCAAAGATATCTCATTGAAGTGTG